GGACACTCGGGTTCTCCTTGGGGCTGTGTAGAATAATAGTTCTGTTGGACATTTACTTACAGGCTTTTGTGTCACCGTCTTTTTCAGTTCTCTTGACATTGGCCCTGGGTTTAGCTTTTTGAGGACTTGTCAAGTTACTGTCCACAGCTGCTGCCCCACTTTTACATTCCTGCCAGCCACCCATGAGGACAGCCACCAGTGAGGACAGCTGTGCCAGTGACACCAACCAAGTGGTCTCACTGCTAGGCAGCTTCTCATCCCTGCCACTGTGGCCACCTGAGGAGCGCACTTTTGTCTCTTGTAATCATTCCTTATCCCCCAGTTCCTCCTCTCTCCCTTTTGTTTTTACAATTCTTGAAGTCAGAAGTGCATTAGATATTTCCACATTGAGAACTTCACATGGAGAATTAGTTAATTAGGCACTGGAAGATTAAAAAGCAAGAAGACAACACTGAAGTAATATGCTAACATTGAGAAGTAGCTACCATCCCTGATCATCAGAATTGCTAAGAAGATTTGGGCGATGTTGGAATTAAAAACTCACAATGTGCCCAATGGTGTAGAGGCTTTACCTGCAAGTACTGGTGGTACCTTTGAGTGTATGTGGTGAGCTGAAGCAGTATCTGGAAGGAAAAAACAGAAACTTTTTACAGTTTATTACAGTGCTTACATTAATTTGTTTTCCTTGGATTGACTTCCCCCATTTATAGGCTGAGCTGGTACACACCTGTAGTTCTGTCCCTTGGGGACTGAGGCAGGAGGATTTTTAATTTGAGGTCATTCTGCTACATAGTGATACTGGCTCAGAAAAACCCACCAGGGAGGCATGGTAGTTCTTGCCTTTAATCCTAACACTTGAGGTAGGCCATCTGTCTGATTCTAGGATAGTCTGTTCTACATAGCAACTTCCAGGACTACCTGTTTAGTGGGACGGGAAAGCCAAAAAAAAAAAAAAAAGGAAAAGATAAAACAACTTTTTTTTTTTTTAATTGCGTACAGATTGACTATTTTATGAAATGCTTGGAACCAAAAATGTTTCGTGCCAATAGATACTTCTTTGGGCCACCAACTTTCAAAAAATGGCATGGAGACTTATTAATTACGAAAGCTCAGCCTATAGCTTAGGCTTGTCCCACTAGCTCTTATAACTTAACCCATTTCTATTAATCTATGTTTTCCCTCATGACTTTTTATCGCTCTTCCTTCTTGCACCTCCTGTTTCTACTCTGTGTCTCTTGGAGTCTCTCCTCTCTGTCCAGATGTCCTGCCTAACCTCTTCCTGCCCAGCTGTTGGCCTTTCAGCTCTTAATTAAACCAATCAGAAGGTGTCTTGGCAAAGGCACATTTTTACACTATACAAAGATTATTCTACAACAGTTTCAAATTTCAGTTTCTAGGATTTTTGGAATGTTTGTGCATATTTTGGACTCTAGAACATTTCTGGGTTTAGAATAAGGAGCTGTAATGTGGGGTAGAAAATGTAATGTTTCCAATGGAAGTGACTGTCCCTGGAGTACAGCAGAGTAGGTAGGAATCAATTTATAGGCCTTTTTACACACACTACATTCCCCTTCCCTGCAATTCTTTTTTTTTTTTTTTTTTTTAAGACTCTGTAGCCTAGACTGGCCTTGAACTAAACTCAATAGACTGTGACCTCCAGCTCCTGATCTTCAGCCTCCCATTGAGTTGTGGGATTGCAGCCATGTGCCACTCAGCCCCAGCATTCCCTAGTTGTGTTCTGGTAGTAGCTATACCCAGCTGCTGTGCATATTTCTAGCTATCTTTGAGAACTGACCATCCAACCTTAGTAAACAGTGGTGTGGAACACATCATTCTTTAAGGGATTCAAATCTTGAGAAAGGTAATAATGTAAAGTGCTTGATTATTAACAGAAAGTAAATTTCATAAATTGCCCTATAGATGTTACTTGTAATACATGTGAAGAAAACAGCAGACCACTATAGAAGTAAATTTCCAAATTAACACCTGAGCTGACATTTCAGCCCTCCTATTCATAAAGTAAGACAAAGGCCCAACCTGAAGGTGGAGCTTGATAGATGAGATAGTACCTGTGATGTCACGATGTCCAGAGTGTAAGTGAGGACTCAGTACATGTGGGCTGCTGTAATTACTATTGATAGGAGTAGGACTTCTCTCGGTGAAAGTTCCATTAGCCTGCTGTTTCCCCAGTCAGTTATTCTGAACAATGAGCATGCAGAATATAGAGCTACACTAGGAAACCACAAACTGTGCTGGTCACTGAATTTGCTTTGTCTTGATTTATCCCTCCCCACCCCAGTTCCTCTTCATAGTTCCACAGGTAAGTTTATGTTCATTAAAACATTAAGACAGATGGGCAGTGGTGGCCTGCACCTTTAATCCCAGCACCCAGAAGGCAGAGGCAGGCGGATCTCTGTGCATTTGAGGCTAGCCTGGTCTATACAGTGAGTTCCAGAACAGCCAAGGCTACACAGAGAAACTCTGTTTTGAAAAAGAAAAAAAAAAAAAAGTCATACAAGTCAATAACAACAACAACAAAAAAATACTAAGGAACCAAGGCATAGCAGAAGTAGGAAGATACAAAACCTAACATTATTCCTCAAAGAAATGCATAATAAAAAAACCCTCTAGCTTATCAAAATGTATTTTTTTAAATAAGTGATGAATGAGTATATTCTCCTTGTTGTTTGGGAAAGTGATGCAGTGCATATCCTTTGTGCAACAACTTTTTGTCTTTTTTTTTTTTTTTTGATAGTTTTCCCAAGTAGCCGAGGCTAGCCTTAAACTCACTGTATAATAGCGCAGGTGCTCCTCCTCCTTGGAATTACAGATGTGTACCTCAAACCCTGGCAGATTTGTTATATCTTAACATTTGTACCTCATTTGACTTAGCTCTTCATGGTCCAAAATTTAAGAGAGTTGAAAAACTCAGCTATTGTTAGTCATATCATAAATGTTCTAAAATAGTGCAAATTATTCTGATAGTAGTTTTTATATAAAAATCTACATTATATATGATTTGAATTGAAAATACCATTTATTAAGTTTGTTAGTATTTGTGTAATTAAAAGTGACTCCATTATCTTATTAAAATTTGTAGCTTTTAAAGATTTATCTTAAATTTATACTTGGTTTTAGAAGACACTTTAAAAAACAGAAAAAGATTTAAAACAACTGTTGATTCAAAAATCTCTTAGTATAAATTAACACATTGGAAATGGTAGTTTTTGTGTGGTTTCATTTCAGGTATGCAGTGTCTTTAGCATAGAAAATTTGAGAGAGGCTGGTACAATTTAAAATTTTTTCTTGTGTTAACATAATTGTAATTAAAATTACACTAGGTTTTTGTATATATTTGTATTAAATAGATGCATCCATTTGACAGATATTTATTGATTCCTGCAATGTTTAAAACTTAACGCTGATGTGTCATGGTGAGCAAAATAGTTGTAGTCCTGCTAATTTCAAGTTCAAAGCCTGGTGGGGGTTGGGCAGGCATGAACTTACATAAATACACAGTTAAAATGCATGGCACAAAGGAAACATGGAGAGTTCTTCAGATTTTAAGGTAGGAGGGAGTAGTACTGGGAGACTAAGCAATTGGCACAATCTACACTTAGGAACAGTTCTCTGCTTCCTTGAAGCAGACAGATCCTAAGAGTACAGGAAGGACGTCTGCTAGGAGCCAGTGGCTGCTTTGGGCAGACAGCTGCCATGGACTAAGGGTGTCTGAATTTGTATCTGTATGTGTACTGGGGACAACCAATGGGGGGGGGGGATGCCTGGATTTATGGTATATTTTGAGAATAGATAAATGAGTTATTGTTGAATACCTATGTAAATGTTTTGTAAGACCTTTTAGAATGCCTTGTTAGTGGATAACTGTCATTTTTAAGTAAACTGTTACTTCCTTAAAGTTATCATGCATGGCATTGTTTCAAAGGCTATGAACATTTGTATTGCTTCAGATAGATAGATGATTGATAGATAGATTGATAAGTGATAGATTGATAGATGATAGAGGATGGATGGATAGATGATGGATGGATGGATGGATGGATGGATGGATGGATAGATGGATGGATGGGTGGGTGGATGGATGGGTGGATGGATGGGTGGGTGGATGGATGATCCCTTTCCAAAAGGAATGTGCCCCGTTTTATCACCAGAAATGATTTATGCATTCCACCTGCAGTTCCTTCTTGCCAGCAGAGTACAATTTATGTTGAAGTTTTATACTACCTCATAGGTGGAAAATACGGGATAAGGGGTTACATGGAATAAGTTTTCCTTATTGTGTTATTGTGCTGATTGAGTTTAAGTGACTTTACATTGTCCTAGTTTACTGAGGATATTAGTAACTTACAGCCTGGTGTACCTTCTCCAAAGGCAGGAGATAACACTCATTTAAAATGTGAAATATTGGTGCTTTACTTTGCTTCATCATTAACTAATTTCCTTGTAGAATCTATTTTAAATTTGAACTTTGGTATTGTGTACTTTGATAATACGGTGATTATTTTTAAGTAAGGAAATAATTTGTTTTCAGAATAGTTCAAATTTGTGAAGTTGTTTTATTGGCTGACCCACAGGGTTGACAGGTTTTTCTGAAAGGGATGGCTACATGGGTCTTTGCCACATCATCTTTAGGGACTCTTGAGTTGTTAGATTTTGGTTCTTTGGGTGGTGGGGGCATTGAGACAGGTCTCACTATATAGACTTGGCTGGCCTGGAACTTGCTGTGTAGACCATGGTAGCCTTGCGCTCACAGAGATTGCTTGCCTCTACCCCCCAGGTGCTTGCCAGTAGCCCTCATAATGGGTGCTACATGGTCTCTCATGGTTTTGATTTGCATTTCTCTTGATGGTGTCTTCAAGTGCTTATGGGGCACTTGTCTGCTTTGGAGATTATCTGAAGTGCCCATTTTGAATAGGAATTGGGTATGTCCACCTTTTAAAAGATGCACTGTAATAACCCAGACTATGTTTCTACCTTCTCAGGACTCCTACAGGAAACAAGTAGTAATTGATGGAGAAACCTGTCTCTTGGACATTCTCGACACAGCAGGTCAAGAGGAGTACAGTGCAATGAGGGACCAGTACATGAGGACTGGGGAGGGCTTTCTTTGTGTATTTGCCATAAATAATACTAAATCATTTGAAGATATTCACCATTATAGGTGGGTTTAAGTTAAATATGAAAGTTGGCATTGAGAAGTAATGATAGCCTTCATTTATTGATTCTTTGCTAATTGTTATGCCTATAGGATCTGTTTAAATTTGGAAACATTTGTGTCAAGTAGGCAGAATTCTAGTTTTACAAATGCATCTCTTAGGGGTTGGAGCAGCTGCATAACTTGTCCCAATGTGTGCAGGTAGCAATGGTGCTGGCTGGGGACAGGGCCTTTTGTATTCTTATTGCCCTATGTGAGAGAAGTAAAGCTTCTAATGTTTTAGAAACATGAAAATACCATCCAGACATAGAAACATGGAAACATGATTTCAGATGGTGCCACTCAAATGATCTTAAAAACAATCATTTTATTACAAAATTTCATGGACTGGATAAGCAGTGGCCTACATAGTTTTTTTTAAAAAACACATTTAGGTGGTATAAGAAGTTGAAGAATTAGAGCAATTACTGGTTTTTGTTTTAGGAGTCTGACACATGTACCTAAGATTACTTAATAATCACATGAAATGTATTTTATATTCTTTCTTGAAAGTTTACAATATTCATTACACTGCTTATTGAGCACTATCCCCCTTCCTGGCTGTGCCACCTAACTGTGTGCCAGCTGAGTGAAGAGTAGTTGCCTGGTGATGGGGATGGAGTGACTGTGGAGCACATTGCTGTAGTGGTGCAGGGTGAGCTTTGTTGACAGAGAACACCTGGGGATATGACCTAGCTCTGCTGAGCTTCCAAGCAGCACTTTAGACACTCACAGGAAATTGTGAAGGAATAGTTTTATTCCAAATGCAGAATTTATTTGTAGGTCACATTGACAGCCACACATGAAAAGAACTTTTAGCAGAATACATATTGTAGTTTCTTTAGTGTTACTTTTTTTAAAAAAAAGATCCATCTTCAGGGCTGAAGAGATGGCTCAGCAGTTATTGACATATGATGCTTTTCTAGAGGACCCAAATTAATTCCCAGTATCCTATCAGTCATCTCATGATCTCTACAGCTCCAGGGAATCCAATACTTTGGGCCTCCACTGGCCCCTGAACTCGCATGTACAGTCCTAGCTATACACAGACACACACATATACACGACTAAAAACTAAAATTAAAACTGTCTTTCCAGTGGTTCTCTCTCTGTCTCTCTCTTGAATAGTACAGTAGTCCCTCTTACCCATAGTTTAATACTTTGATGTTTTACTCATGCTCACCTAAGTCTGACAATACTAAATTATAGAAATAAAGAATTCCTAAGTCTTGAATAGCTTCTATTACATATTGTCACAATTTTGTTTTAATAGTCTCTTACTATATCTAAATTGTCAATTAGACTATCTATTGATATGTACATATGGGGGAAATAGTATATGAAGGGTTTGATACTATCCCCAGTTTCAAGCATTTGTTTGGGGTTCTCAGAATATTTGCCCACAAATGGCAGAGAAGGGTCCGCTGAAATGTCAAAGTTATGTCGATGCTGATAAATCATGTTTGAGTAAAAACAAGTATTCTTGAGACAGGGTTTCACTGTACAGCTTTGTCTGGCCGGGAATTCATTTTTACAGACCAGACTGGCCTGGAATTCATAGAGCTCCTCCTGCCTCTGTTTCCTGAATGCATGGACTAAAGGCGTGTACCACACATTTAGTGTACCTGGTGGATGAAACCATTTTCAGCCATATAAGACACATTTGTGTATCATGTTTCTAAGACAATTTTGTACATAGCACTTTTGATTTGAAACTTTCCAGTGTGTTTCTTATTGTTGTATATACTCATTTGAATGACTCCTTTCTATTGAGTTGAGATTGTATCAGTATTTGAGTTTTGAACAGATATGTAAGATTTTTGTCTTGGAAAAAATAAGAGAAGCAAGGGAAATTTGGTAAATCATTTGGTAAAGTTCTATAGGGTGGAAGTTGAGGTCAGAGTTTGAAATATTGTTGTTCATGCTTCTGTTTGCTTTTTCCCCAGAGAACAAATTAAAAGAGTAAAAGACTCTGAAGATGTGCCTATGGTCCTGGTAGGGAATAAATGTGATTCTCCTTCTAGAACAGTAGACACAAAACAGGCTCAGGACTTAGCAAGAAGTTATGGGATTCCATTTATTGAAACCTCAGCAAAGACAAGACAGGTAAGTAAACCAGGATAAATGTAAGTCCTTGAGAGTATAAATGCTAGTATAACGGTTGTATGTTAATCATTTAGTGTGATTCACCAGTCCTTTCATGTTTATTTGGCAAATGTCTTCTCTTGAGTGGACCAGGGACCATGATATTACTTTGGGTTCTCTTTCTTTCTAAGTGTGTGTGTGTGTGTGTGGTGTGTGTGTGATGGTGTGTGTGTGTGATGGTGTGTGTGATGGTGGCAATTGAAACAAGGTTTCTCTCTGTCCCCCAGCCTGGGCTTGAACTCTCAGTCTCCCAACTCTGTCTCCAGGTACTGGAATTACAGGTGTACTCCACTATGCCTGGTGTTTTTTCTTTTCATATTGAAAATTTTTCTTCCATTTAAGAGTACATTTTACATTAGGATTCAGGAAATGTGGAAAATTTTCCCCACTTAAGTGATAAAGACAAAGAATGGTGGAATAAATTTTGAGTTTCTTATTTTAGAAGCAGTTTTTAAAAATTCATGTTTCTGCTGGGCTTGGTGGCACACACCTTTAATCCCAGCACTTGGGAGGCAGAGGCAGGTGGATCTCTGAGTTTGGGGGAAGCCTGATATACAGAGTGAGTTCTAGGACAGCCCGTGCTACACAGAGAAATCCTGTCAATTCATGTTTCTCGATTAAATTTTGTGCTACTTGAAAAATTATATCTAGGCAGAAAGTTTTTGAGGATCTATTTCTTTAGGGAAAGAGTTGTGATTAAAATAAGAGACTATTTAGAAAATGAATAGACACTCTTAAACTATTCACTACATTGTTCTGACAAATGTATATGTCAGATAGAGCCTGAGTTTTGTTTCAAAATAATTTTCCTTTTAAAGTAACTTTAAACTTCAGTTGATAAATCATTTGTTTGTTTGCAGAAGTTTAGCAAATAGGAAAAAGAGTCCTAGAAATGAGTTCATAAAGACTTGCTGGAAAACAGTTTCATGTACTGAATAATTAGTTAATTTATAGTTCATAAGTTTGTTTGGAGCTTTTATGGGAACCCCCATAAAATGATTTTGTAAAGTTTAACTTCTCGTGACTATATGTGTGTAAGAGTCATCTTGGAAATGTTTACTGAATTTTGTGAGGGATGTAAAAATTTAAACCAATTTCAAATGTGCAGATGGATGGATAAATACAAAGAAAATTTCCTTGGGAGGTCATATGTGTCTCTTGTTTGTACTTGTTTGTACAAATAGGGTGCATGTGGAAAGAAAACAGTGAATTCTGTTTGATGTCTTTGTTTGGGTTAAAAAGTGGATTTCTGTCACATGGGTGTCTCCCTCCTGGGTACCAGTTTGTTCATAGTTTACTTAGCGTTCACAGGGATCTGATGTGCATCATTTGGCTTCACGATAGAGGAGCTGTTTCATTCACAACCACCCCACATTGTAAAGACAGGAAGAGGTTTGATTCTGTGTCCAGTTCCTGGTCTATGACCAGTCCCAGAAGCAGCTCAGAAAACATAATTAATAGCTGTAAGTTTCTTCTATGGGAGAAACATTTCCTTTGAAAGAATTCAAATATGAAATGTAAGTATTTTATTGAAAACCTACTGTGTAGACTTTACCATTGACATTTTACTACTTGCATTGTTTAAACTTACAAAGAATGATACCTCTCATACTGGTGATCCTTGTAGCTGACATTTTAAAGACACAGAGAAGCCCGAGACGGGCGGCAGCACAGGAGCCTTTCCTACATGAGTGTGCACACACACCAACTGACCTTCTTCAAGTCAGAGTACAGGCTTTAATCCAGGGTGTTTGTGCTGAAGCCTGTGGCTGCATTCCTCTGTACTTTGAGGTAGTGCTGGTTTGGGAGGTGGGTCACAGTAGAAAGGCCGTCGAGCACAGTGAAAGGGGTCTCTTGGTTAACATCTCAGGGTTGCTCTCCACCTCTCACTTGGAAAGAGCCTAAAGTAACTCATTTATCATTTCTGTTTGACCAAACTGCTTTAGTATACTGTAGTTCATAATTGATTAGAATACTACCTTTTAGCTTTAACAGTGTGTTCTCTCTCTCTCCCTCCCCCCCACACACACTCAGAATTATTTTGCTTCGTTCATTTTTGTTTGGTTTTTAGTGTTTTGACAGTTGTACAGTCCAGGCAAATCCCAAGCTCATCATGTAGCAGATGCAGGCCTTGAACTCTTGCCTCTACCTTCCATGTGCTGGGATTACAGACATATGCCAGCACGCCCAGCTTAGTTTGTCAGTTCAAAGGCATGTGGTACAGAAATAGATTAACTTAATTTGCTTTTTAGATAGTGTGAATCATTTAACATGTATAGAGGTAAGATATACAAGAACTTCTTAAGTGGTGCTTGGGCCTTGTATTAATATCCTAGTCTATTGATTTTTTTTTAATGTTACAATATGTTTCTAAACTATAACTTAGATAATTCACTTTTCAATGGACTTGTTGGTTTATTTAGAAGTTAATTTAGAATTGATTTATTTAGAAATATGCTTTGAAGAATTGTTAATATTTTTTGAAATCAATTTAATATTTACAAAAGTTTTGGAAGATTCTAAAGATCTACGCCAAATAATTTTCGTAATCTGTAACATAATGTACATTTTAATAAGTTTTACATCTCCAGTTTTTATGAAAATCTGAAGCTCCATTTTGGGAAGCATTTTGCTTATTTGTTATTTTAATTAAGTATAAATGTGCCTATTGTATTTTCTTAGCAACCTGTTCTTGTTCATGAGCTTAACAAAAGCACCAGAAAACAAACTATGGTAATAGGAACTGAACATTGATTTGGGAGTTCTCAAAGGTATAAGTCAAGGCATGGCAAGCATTTTTTTTTACAGAGGCCCAGATAGTAATGTTGCATCTTATACATTGTTTTCCCTAAGAAGCCTTGAAAATGTAGAACACCTTGTCAACTTATACCGAACAATTGTGACTCTGCCTGTAGTGGTAATGTGCTAATCTCAACCTCCCTAGATGTCAGTTGATGAGACTCTAGTGTTACACAAGACCTTCAACCAAAAACTCAGGCTGATTTTATCATTTTAAAGCAAAAATTGTGTATTTAGTAAAGACCATTATATTTTATTGGTTCTTCAGATAAAGGTTACAGAATACATATTTTTACCAATATATTACTTGCTAACTTTATAGTATACATTACCATACCAGTATATAATGATAGAAGATAGAAGATAGATAGAAAGAGAGAGAGAGAGAGAGAGAGAGAGAGAGAGATAGTGTTGCTGGAGCTTTCTGTCTGGTCTGGTCCTGCTGCCCTTGAGCCCCAAAATAAACACATGGATGCTGTTAGTTATAAAACTGTTGGCTGATGACTAGGGCTTCTTATTGGCTAGGTCTGTCTTAATTACTAACCCATTTCTATATGGTCTTATCTTACGGGAGAAGGGTCCGGAGAAGGTTACTCCTTTAGCGGCCTACATGGCGACTGTTTCTGGCTGGCTTTCTCTGCCTACCTTTCCCAGAATTCTTGTCTCCTAGTCCCGCCTATCTTCCTGCCTTATTGGCTAACAGTGTTTTATTCATCAACTAATAAGAGAAACATATATGCAGAAGGACTTTCCCCATCAAGATTGATAGATAGGATTAACATGGTCTTGTTGTGTTGCCCAGGTGGTTCTGGAACTCATAGGTTCAAGTAATGCCCCTGCCTCCCTATTCCCCAGTCCCTGGGACTACAAGTGTGTGGCATTGTGCTTAGCTGTTTTTGTGTTTTTAACTGAAAGTATAAAAGAGCTCAATTAAATTTGCTGGTGTGCTATTATGTGGCACACCATATAGACCAATATTCCTGGTATATAGAGTGCTACTTCACATTATCAAGGCACTTAGGAGTTGACAGATTTTTTCCAATTCCTTTGAATGGCACATTAGAAAAGGCTGTTGAGACTGAAACCCTGAACACCTTGAGGATTAGCTGTGAGCTTGCCAGGCTGCTAGAATCAAAAGTCAGAGTGAGTGGGCATCAGATAGATGACAAGCAGGGATCTCAGGTTAGCCAATCCAGCTTTTTTATGTTTGGTGGTCTTGATTTGAGCAGTGTAAAGGTTAGTTTCCAAACTTAAAAGTTGTCTAATACTCATTAATTTCTTGGTTTGTTTTTGAATTTTAGATATGTAAAATTAGTTGATAGCCTCTCTGAAAGAAAGCTTATCATAAAGCTGTTTAAGAAAGCAAAACAAATTTTAAAATCTCAGGTGTTTTATCTGATGTTTGTTCTTTCCCCATGAGAGCAGTGCCTTGAATTCTGAGTTAGAAGTAGACGGTACTGAACACCAGCAGGGTTGCACTTCAGTAGGCCTGAGATGGGTTATCGTGTGACAGGGTGTCTTAAGGACAACCAGGGATGTGAAGTTGGTACTGGGAAGTATGTCTGGTTTCTCCATGCTCTCACCAAGAAGGCCAATGTTGTTGCTTCTGTGTATTCACAGTTCATGCTATATGTGTGTCATTCATTCCCTTGACAGAATGCTGCAAGTTGTTTTGCAGATTCAACAAGGAAGAATACACTTGATAAAAATGTGATGTCTTACTGAGAGCAAATGAAGAATTTTATTTGTTAGCAGGTCTCTAGGCAGGGGTGGGGGGTGGGGGGGTGCTCTGTTTCTATAGTCTCATCTGCTTTAAGCTCAAAACATTGTCTGATCTCTCTGTTTAAAAAGAACTTACATAAACCTGGATACTCTTTTTTATACATAGGTGTTTTCATTTGCTCTTAGGGTTCACTATGTAGCATTTTAAAGTGAGAAAATGTGGCAATAAGTTATACCCTCAAGGACAAATCACTCTGCACTGTTGGGTTTAGCAAGTAGTTGCAGCTACCTTATTTTTAAATGTTACTTCAAAGTTGAAAACATTAAAATCAATATTCTATACTATACTATAGTCATGTAGTGTTTAAAAGTAAGAGACAGTGCTGGTGGTAGGGCAAGGGTAAATAACAATGCTCTCAGATTCTCCTGATGTCAATGTAACTTGGAAGCGTATTTTCAAGGAATAATTAAGTATGGAAAATGTGGTAAATAACTTTTTAAAATGAATTTAAATTTCGTATTTGTAAAATTAAGAAACGGAAAGTTTTTCTGTAGTAACTATTTCTTGGTGTTAATTATCTTGGCCACTGAGATCCTAATACTGAATTCATGGTGATGGGTAGTTGTCTCTTTAATTATTGGCTTCCGATTCTCTCTCTGCATTGCTGGAAACAGAAATCATAAATTCTTGTATTGGTGATGGGGATGCTCACACTAAAAAGCAGACACATCAAACTGTTACTATCAAATTTTGCTTCTGTTAGAGGACAAATACCCTCTTTTTCTTCCCTTCATAGCACATTGACCTTTACATTGATGTTTAACTTTTTTTAAAGGAAGGAATAAAGATTTATATTCTGTAAGATTTTAAGAAAATATGAGCTTTTGCCTGGTTTTGCCTCTTTGTAGGTATAAATAAATGTATAGATACATGAAGAATTTCCTTCATTGGCTTTCAACTTAAAAGAGAATAATTATTTATAAAAATATAAATTGACTAGTCATACTTTACACTTTGAATTCTTTAAGCCATTTATCTTAAATAACTTATATAGTATGGACACATCTGATACATTTTTGACAAATAAATGAGTAAGGAAAACTTTTGCCTTGGGTATGAATGATACAACTGCTAAATAATACTTACAGATATAAGTGGGGATTTTATTTTAAATGCCTCATTTAGTGATTTTTTAAAAGTTAAAAATGTTTCTTCCTCTGTAGTAGTCAGCTGATTAAATCAATTCCATTGAAGATGGGGCTGGGGAGCCAGAGAGATGACTCAGGGTTTAAGAGTGCCTGCTACAAGAAGTAGCTTGGGAAAGAATTCGCCGCCGCCGATTAGTTAAAATGCTGAGTCAGGAGGGACTCCCTTGCATGGGAATGCCAATATCTCTCACTCCCTGATGGGGGCGCTAGAGAGACAGCAATTCCATGATTGGAATTTCCAAAAAAGAAAATGGGGGAATGAAGGGACCAGCTCCCCATTTCGGCAGCCATGACAATAACATGCGCTTGCTATGACCTTGTCTTAGTCACTAGAGGTTAGGTGCCTGCCTCCTGACAAGGAACCAATCAGAATGTTGCTGGTGGCCCTATGCTTTACGACCCTGGGTGTGCTTTACGGGCAAGCGCACAGCAATGATGCACAGAGCATAGCAACCACCCTAGGAGGGCCTATGGGCCATAACAACCAGTTGGCCAATCAACACAGGGCAAGCCCTCCAAGCCTGGAGGCACACCAATCCTGACCCTGTGCTTACCCCTAGACACTCCCCTTACGCTGCCCTACAAGATCTCTCGGGAGCCCCTAGGAGCTGCTGTCTTTTGTAGCCAACTGCCATAGTGGGTGGACAAAAGACCCGAGCTAACATGGGGTTAGCTCATTAAATTACAATAAAGCCTCATGCAGTTTGTAGCAAGAAAAAAAAGAGTGCCTGCTACAGTGGGCAGTGGTGGCTCACGCCTTCAATCCCAGCACTCAGGAGGCAGAGGCAGGTGGATCTTAGAGGCCAGCCTGGTCTGCAGAGTGCTTTCCAGGACAGCCAGGCAGGGCTGTAACACAAAGAAACCCTATCTTGAACCCCCTCCCCCCCCCAAAAAAAAAGACTTTGGTTCCTACCTCACATTTTGATGGCTAGCAACCACCTGTAGGTAACTCCAGCTCTGGTGCCTCTGTGGCCTCCAAAGGTACCTGTACACATACACACACAAAAAGGATTTTTTTTCTAGAGCTGTAATAATGTTTACTATTACATTGTTTGAAGTGAGAATTTTTCACTGAATGGCTCATGGTATTAGCCAGAAATATATATTTTAATATGGAATCATTATTTAAATGCCTGCCTCTTTACTGAAACTCAATGTTATGAATTTTAAAGGTAAATTACTGAATGTCCCTGAAGCAGTTCTTAATGCAGTCTTGAGATTTCTAAAACTTAATATGCCCTAAATTATTGAAGTATCTTTTTCTTAACTGTTGAAGGGAGCAAATGACTTACATTTGCAAAAATCAAGCCCTAGTTGTTGGTTTATTTCCCTTAATACCGAGTGCTTGATTCTCTGTGCCTGATTGAATTTAAATTATAAATTGTTGTTGGTATACTAGGTGTTAGGTACATTTATCACATTAGTTCATTGGAAACATTGCTTTTTACCAGTTGTAGAAAAATAAGGAATACATCAGTCCCCTGTGTAAACAATTCATTATCAAAAGGAAATAATTTTGAAATTAAATATGTAATAAAATATGCCAGCTTTCTTAAGTATTTACTTTTCTTTTAGAAGAATGGACATAAGTATTACATCTGAGGTTGAGTTTGTACTACACGTATGTGAAGTTTCTATACGTGTAGTTTCTGGACATTTCTCTTAGATAGGCTTCTACTTTGGTGGTGCATTTTTGTAGAAATTAGCATTATATTTATGAATACTTTGTGCCTTTTAGGTTATTGCCTAATTTTCTGTTTTGAGAAAGTTGGAAACCTCTTTCTCCATAAAGGGAATTTATGAATCTCCTTGTTACACTTTATACAGCGGCCTAACCCAGAAAACCCCGTTCAAGGGGCCGGAGCTATGACTCAGCAGTCAAGAGCACTGACTGCTTGCTGCAGAGGGTCTGGGTTCAGTTGCCAGTACCCACGTGGTATGCACAAGGTGCACAGGCATACAGGCAGCCAAAACACTCACGTACATAAAATACAGCAGATTCTAAGCTAATAAAAAGAACCTCCTTGAAAGTAGAAGGCACACAGCATTGTGTGGACAGTGCTTTGCAGGCTGTCTGAGAAATAAGGGTATATAAGATGTGTTGCTCCTGCCTTATATATTACAGATGATTGATGGAGTTTTCTTGTTTTGGTGAACGGCCCGTTTATCATTTAAATACTCTAATTGCCCATACGCTGTGGTACTAGTGTCACATGAATCTTGGGACCTAGAAATTGATTAGAAAGTGTCTAATTGAAAATGAAACTGGAGGTCCCAGTGTGTGGACTCATTTTGGTTGGGACATGGGCAAGGTTCATGTCCCTAGTCTGCCTCTCTCTGCTTGCCCACTGGGTGGAAGTTGACATCAGTGATACATGGAGATCACGTGTTTTCCTTTGTCCAAGGAAAGTTCAGACCTAACTGCAGTTCCTCAAACTTCAATTACTGTATCAAGAAACATAGACATATAGTTAGGCTTTTCCTCATCTCCTCTGATTCCTAGCTAAAAATTTTAAACTCTTAATTCCAACAAGATAATACTTTTGAGAACAAACCAGGCTCTAGCTCATGTTTTAAAGCTGCATCCTCAATTTTACTCAATCTGATGTCTGCTTTAAAATTTTTTTTCAACTGTAAAGCTCATAATTCAAACTTCTTACACATGGCTATCCCAGTAAATTACTCTTCCAAATGAAATGGACTTTAAAGAAGTTGTGTTTTACAATGCAGAGAGTGGAGGATGCTTTTTATACATTGGTGAGAGAGATCCGACAGTACAGATTGAAAAAAATCAGCAAAGAAGAAAAGACTCCTGGCTGTGTGAAAATTAAAAAATGCATTGTAATGTAATCTGGTAAGTTCAGCACACTCACTTTGGTACAAAGCAGATGTCTTTCAAAGGTAACAAAGCAGTCAGAACTACTTAGAGATGGTGTTCTGCTTCGACATTAAGACATAAGAAACTTGTCATTTGTTTCTAAATGAGTACATTTATTTTAAAAGTGATTAATGTAATTGATGGCTGAGGTAGAATAACCTGCATTTGTCATAAACTCTAATGACTTCATTAGTTTTAAGTAAGCTAAGCATTTGGGAACTAATAACTTTGTTTAAAAATTCAGATTTAAGATAACCAGCAGCTTTTGAGTAAAAAAAAATTGTGTAATAGTGATATGACCCAGAGGTGGGAAAGGGCCCAAAAAGTTGACTGTTTTTCCCCTGTGCTGTCTGCCAGGTGCCAACAGCACTGCCTCTCCAGTGAGATGGGGGTCTTTGCGTGCTCCTGCACCCACTTAGAAGTCCTTTGGTATTGCTCTGTCACAGTATTCAGACCTTCTGATTATCTGTGCCATCACTCACTGTACAGGCTGCTGCAAAGAAATGCCAGTCTGTGATTTACACACACACAGGGAACAGAGAACTCTACACATACCTTATATGGTCCTTAACACGCTCCCTTTTCTCCAGCCTTTTGGAATTTTATATCTGAAAAAACTCCATCTTGCCAGAGTTTTGTCCATCCATAGACGCCATGTTGTCCCTCCCTCCCTTCCTTCCTTCAGCTTGCCTCTCCTTTGGGTCACCAGTGTTCTTACCCCTGGTTTGATCAACCAGCTAACATGTGGTTCCCCAGTCTCTTAATAATCTCTTCAGCCCCTAAAGTGGGCATTGTTGCTTTGTATATTCCCAATATGCTCTTTTTAACTATATGGCTTCCTATAGTACATTGAAATAGCTTATGTTTTATTCTTTTATTAGACAATAGAATTCTAGAGCTGGACCATATATTTTAATCTTCGTGTGCCCATTGCATGCTGAAATTCTTGACACATAGGTACTTCCTAGTAAATACTGAGTGGACCCTATGACCTCCTTGTGTAAACTAACCCAGATTATATTTTGTCTAGATCAGAAATTCTTCACTCAGTGAGTGTTTATGGAGGATGTTGTCATGAATGTGTTCCTTGAGGACATGAAATAAAATTAGTGTTGAAGACTAAGAGGTGTAAACTCAGAAACAAAGCAATACTTGCATGGATTTCTAATGGGATTATGAACTTTTAGGGTTTGTATCATTGTATAAAGCCATACTTCAGTTTTAGAAATTATGGTACAATTTAACATTTAAAATGCAGTTTCAGAAGTTAACTTTTGGAATAATAGTCATGACCAGATTTAAGTAGTAATTTTAACTTCATTCTCCTTTCTATAGCCTCACTCTTAGATTATTTTAAAATAGAACGATATTTAGAGTATGTGGTACACTTAACACCATATTCAAAACAAAGGCAGCACCACACACTCCTCTAAATGTCTAAAAGATGCAGTTTGTAGCAGTGACATGAATGTTAATTGACTCTGAATTGAATCATTGTGATTTTAGTGCGCATAGCACTTTATATGTAAACAAAGGATTTTTAATTAATATTTAAAATTACAGTTAAGCAATTAAAGTTTTTATTTATTAATAATACATATGTACAAATAAGTTGTTCACAGTCCTAGAAAAGGGGTAAGTGTAAACAAAATAATTAGAATATGAGATTTGACTTTATGAGAATCAGTTCTCACAGGAATAAGGGGTTCACTGCCCTGTGCACATTAGCTATGGCAATTGTCTAACCCTGAAGTCATCTAAGTAGAATTAATGCAGCCAGAGGCTGACAAACTGTCAGAACCTGAGAAGAGGGTAAATACTATTAAATTCTGTCTTCCTTGTCTGTTAAATGTTTGTATTTTTTTATTCTACCTTAAAAGGTTTCTTACAGCTGTCCATCTCAGGATCATTATTGCACCATTGTTTTAGTATCATTCTTTGTTATAAAAATAGGGCATGCACACAAATACAAAAATAAATGAATGTGATTTTTATAAAAAAAGAAGTTGAAATAGAGTAGATAGAATAATTATGACCAAAGGGAATTCATGAGGTTAAAAGGGTGTTAGATAAGATTCCATCTTGGGCCGGGAGATGGTTCAGTGAGTGCTTATGCTTGTTGCATTAGCATGAGCACCTGAGTTCTAGTTCCTACAAACCACACAAAGCTAGCCAGGTAACATCTGTAATTCCAGCATCAGGGAGGAGCCAAAAGTAATCAGTGGAGTTTGCTGGTCACCAGCCTCGCTCCAGTCTCGTTGAAATACTTTGCCTCCTGGGAAGAAAGTGAGGTGATGGAATAAGACTCCCTTGTGTCCTTCTCTAGACTCCACTTGAATTCACAGATACCCCCCCCACACACACACCCCATATCCCTCACATATACATCATATGTAGACAAAAAGATTCCATCCAATTCCAGTGGTCTGTGACTGTGACCCTAAGGGTTTTGAATTGTGAATTAAGGTCAGCATGGAAGGAGGTTTCTGAAGGGATTTTAGTATCTAATTAAGCATTGACTGCATTGTGTTACATCAGGAATGGTTTTCAGGAAGTAAAAAGCACCAGTGAGTGCAGATGGGAGGTTTTGGGCAATATGTATTTATTCACGTTTTCAAATAGATGATGTCAGCGCTATCCTATTTCTATTTGTTGAGTGTGAGTAAGCTTCAGAGCCACTCTTCCTTTCCCAAATTGGAGATTAGTTGTCAGAATGCGTTATTGTAACTTGATAGGATACAGGGGGCTTACATTTTCTGGGTGCTTTTTTTTCCAGACTTCCTCTATTGTCTAGGTTTGCAAGTATTATTAGGTTAAATTTTCTTTCTGTAGTTCTCTTACTAGGATGAACAGATGAAATAAATCATGACCACTTTTTTCTTCAGCTTCACTTCTGCTTTTGACACAGATAAGGCAAGGGCTGACTCTCGTGTGAACTTGTGTATTGAAGGTTTAAAGTCAGTTCTCCTACTCTGAGAATGCACTCTTCCTGCCTGGGTCTAGGAGGTTGGGAATTACTCTGACTTAATCAACTTTAGTCACAACTGATTTATGTGTTTTGTTTTAATGACAAATACCTGTCAGCCTTAATGACTAATGTTGAATGTTCTTTGAAGATGACAAGTGGATAAACAGTAACTAAAACAGCTAGAGAATCTTCTGCAGAGTGGTCAAGTACATCATCTCTCGGGTGCCTTTGCCACCAGCGAGGGTGGCTGCATCCCAGCTTCAAGGCAGCAGTGGCTTGCTTACGTCTAACGCCCAGAGACCATGCATGCAGGCCAGCCAACAAGTGTCAGTAACTCCTGAATTGGGGTTGGATGCCCTTTGCTGGCCTCTGCTGAGCACTGTACTGACATGATGCACAGACACACATGCGCACAGAACACTCATCTACATTAACTTGTTTTAAATGCATACAATTTTAAAATAATAATTTAAAATTTTTTAAAATGTCAGAGTATCCATGAAGAGATACTGAATCCTAACATTATGGCCCATTCAGCTGGCAGAACATCAACATGTACTGGGACTTTTTATCCTCTGTCCATATTAAAGTCTCTGTTAGCAGTAAAAGTCTATCACTGGGCACCTCAGACCACCATGCGCATTAACATTCAATTCTTTTCATATATTCCAGGGTGTTGATGATGCCTTCTATACATTAGTCCGAGAAATTCGAAAACATAAAGAAAAGATGAGCAAAGATGGTAAAAAGAAGAAAAAGAAGTCATACACACAGTGTATAATTATGTAAATACAATTTGTACTTTTTTCTTAAGGCATACTTAAGTAAAAGTGGTAATTTTTGTACATTACACTAAATTATTAGCATTTGTTTTAGCATTACCTAATTCTTTTTTTTTTTTTTTGTTCTGTTTGTGCAAACTGTCAGCTTTTATCTTAAATGCTTATTTTAAAATGACAGTGGAAACCTCTTTTCTCTAAGTGCCAGTATTCCCTGGGTTTTGGACTTCAACTAGCAATGCCTGTGGAAGAGACTAAAGACCTGAGACTGTCTTCCCGGGGTTTGGTGCATGCAGTTGATTCCACGCTAATTCTCTTACCAGCTGTGAGCATTGTGTGACCCGGAGTAGTGAAGCTTTTGATCCATCTCTGCTCTGTTTCATCTAGTCATTGAGTGAATTAATTAGTAATTACAGCTGCATTGAGACCTAAGACTGCGGAATCACAGATTTATGGTCTTCCCTTGATTCACTTTTAGCATGTCCTAGAATTTATCATCCTTCATAAGTGTAGTTAGACTGTTCAAAAAGGCTTTCTCTTGCTTTCCATTCCCCAGAATAGTATATTTTTTCTAGAAAAGGGGAAAAATGGGGGAAAAAAAGCTAATGGAGAATATTAAATAAAAGTCCGTTCCATGTTGGCTAAATTACTGTAAGATTCCTAATAGCGTTTCCTGGTAAGGCAGACCCACAAAGAAATAGTAACCGTTTGGGCCATATTTACATGCTACTAAATTTTTGTAATAATTCAAACAATTTTAACATATATAAAAAGTTCTCATAAGAATTAGTATAATAATTTCCCTGTGTCAGAGTGTTCTTAGCTTAACTTTTAAGTCTTTTTTTGAACTTATGTCCTTGAAAGTAGTTTTAATTCTGGTTGAGAAACTGAAGGTGATTTGAGACAGTTACAGCTTAGCAGGTGCTGAGATCAGAGTTGCAAGGCTGGGCCTCCCATGACCCTTTGATGAGTGTCACTGGGTTTAAGTGCTGGCACGTTCAGTGCTGGTCAACATGGGGACAAGGAGAGTTTGGACAGCTTAGTACAATACATTCTCTCCAGGTAGCAATCCTGCTGACAAATCAATATTTTTTGTTTATAATAATAAAATTTTAAATAAATTTCAATGCTATCTTCAAGGTTGAGATTTTGGGGTAAGAGGCTCCAAAGGAGAGTAAATCTTTAAAACAATGAAGTATGAAAGTTTGAAAATGCATGTTTGACTAGCCTTTCAATGCTGAACAAACATTTCTAAGTACTCCCTAAACCTGATATGTATTTAGAAATATCTAATGCTTTAAAACTAGAAAAAACAATCCATTCAATGCACCTAATACATTCCTTGAATTATCTGAAGTGATTAAAATCCACTGGACTATGAGGACTGGATGTCTGACTTTAGGGCATATCACTGTCTACTTGATGTGAAATCATCTCAGAGACTCTTCTCAGCTGTGTGGTTTACAGTCTGTTTACACACCACTACACCAGGTAACTTTTTACATGGATTGTCATCTTCACACCAGTCTTGGGCAAAATTGTGCAAGAGGTCAAGTTTGTATTTCAGTATCCATTCTCCAGTTGCAGGACCCCTTCCAACATATACCCCTGACTTAGTGTAGTTTTCTTTTAATACTTTAATTTCCCCCCACTTCAAGTATTATTTCTGCAGTGAACAACTACATGAAAGTTGCCCACTAAGGAAGGTACAACAAAGCTGCCCATGACTTTTTTTCCCTTAAAATAATCCAACAGAAACCGTAGTGGGATTTGAACTGATAGCTGGTTTTCGGGTGGCCACTACAGAAATTTAATCTTGATTCTTTGGACTTCATGCCTGCAGCCCAGTAATTTTCAAATCTAGTATGAACAGAGAGAACTCTGTCTGGAAGGACAGCTTAATCTTCATCTAGGTGTCATCCTGGTTAGTGATGGATTCCATTGTTTTAATAAATACAGTAACAATGAAAAACACTTAAAAGTTTTAATCATAAAGCTCATTTTTAAAGTCAGAATTTATTTACTCAGCATTTATCCAGTGCTTGTCTTATGCTAGGCACCACACAAGGCACTGGAGATGTGATGTGATATCCCCAAAGAAGGGACACAGTCTTTGCTGGTGGTTTGTAGTGTGATCTGTAAGACTTTAGTAAGGCATATGGTACAGACCTAGAATAGAATGCATGGTTTGCAGAGAGCGGTTTGGTTTCTTACAGTTTTCCCTCAATTTAGCAAGAGTTGCTTGATGTGATTCCAATGGAACTCTTTAATCAAGCTACTTTATATAATTATTTTATTTTTCTAAAGGAATAGACATTCCCTAATCTAGTTTTCCCCTTATGTAAATAATTTTTTAAAACTTTTAAAAATTATTTACCAACTTCTATTATAGTTTTATTTGGGTTCAAATAAACAGGGGCCTGAGTTTATTTGCAAGAAAGGAAACAAAATCAGTATGATTTCTGAAATGTTCTATACTCTGCATGTTCATAGAACATTCTAGCCATGGATATTAAGTCTTTTGGGTGGTGGGCATCTAAGACAGGGTTTCTCTGTAGACCAGGCTGGCCTTGAACTCAGAGAGATCACCTGCCTCTGCCTCCTGAGTGCTGGGACTAAAGCCGCCGCCACCACCCGGATAGTAAATCTTAACACATGTAGTAATGCTTCTTGTTTCTATAGAGGGACCTCAGAAGCTGCAGCGCATAATCAGATGGTACTGAAGTCAGTTCAGTTGTTAGTGTTTCTGGGCAGGTGTAATGATTATTACCATTATGTAGTTCTGAATTGCTATCCTTTTGTTGACAAAAAGGTTTTGTAGAGTTTTTTTTTGTTTTTGTTTTTGTTTTTTAAGGGGAAGAAGTCCTAGCAACAAACAAATGTTATTCAGTTACTACAGCCTTAAGTCCTGTTGAAGTTGAAAACCAGTGCTAAATCACAGTCATAGGCATTAACATGTTCTTGGGAAGAATATAGCAGCAAATACAATTTGGTAAATATTTTCAATCAGGAATTCTAGGCTCTATTGACTGAGTCACACTGCATAGGAATTTAGATCCTAACTTTTATAGATTATTAAGATCTTTGCCACCATTGCACAATTTCGTCCTAACAAGTTCTGTGAGACATGTCATAAGTTACAGTTTGCACAAATTCATCTCATTTTGTATTCCTCTGATTTTCCATTTCCTCCCAAACAATAAATACATATTTAGGAGGGGTTTTTTGTAGGCAATAAAAGTTTAAACTCCATTTGTTAAAAAGTAGTAATCTGTTGATAATTGTGTAGTCATTTTTTAAGACCCCAAAGTTACTTTAAAGGTGAATTTATACTTAATAAATTCTGGGTAATACTGGGTAGCATGAATTCTGCACTGAAAAATTGAACAGATACACCCAGTAGCTGTAAAATTCTGTCAAATATAAAAATCATTTCTAAAGTACATTAGTTTTCAAAGAATAGTTATTAATTAGATTCAGATTTGTGGTTTAGTTTAATAGTTTGAAGTGCCTGTTTGGGATGGTAGGCATTTTAGATGAATTTGGGAAAAATAAAGTGCTCTGCAGAAATGCCGGTTTTAGACCCGGCCACCCCAACCAGCTAAGTGGGCTATGTGCTGATTTATCTCCAGGTCCCCAATTCCACTGTCTATGTCTTCATGTTGAGAACACTTCTGCATTTTTATTTGAGTGCCAATTTCTTACTAGTGCTATTTCTCAATGTAACATGTTTACCTGGAATGTATTTTAACTATTTTTGTATAGTGTAAACTGAAACATGCACATTTTGTACATTGTGCTTTTCTTTCTTTCATTTTTTTTCTTCTTTTTGTGGGACATATGCAGTGTGATCCAGCTGTTCTCCATCCTTTGGTTGTGCTGACCTAGGGAATGTTGGTCATATCAAACATTAAATTTAAAATGACCACTCTTTTAATTAAAATTAACTTTTAAATGTTTATAGGAGTATGTGCTGTGGAGTGATCTGAAATTTGTAATATTTTTGTCATGACCTGTACTGCTCCTAATCATTGTAATGTAATAAATAGTTATGGTGACTACGAAGTGTTGACCAGTCATTTTTAATTGTGCTTGAAGCTCAAGTCCACACTGAGAGACTCTACACTGAGCCACAACTCAGCCCTGACAATGGCTGTTTCTTAGAGGAAGTTTGCATCATCTGCCAGGTAGTCAATATGGGATTCTTTAAGTAGACACTTTTTTTTGCAGCTCTAAGTTGGAAAGTTCTTTATTGATAAAGTTGCTAAGAATATTACATAAATGTTTTAAGGTTTTGCATCAACTTTCAGTCCTGACTGTGCTAGGTCCACTCCACATTAGCTTTTAATTAAAAGAGTATACATTTTGTCTACCCTGCTGTAATGGTGGCAACAGAAGAACATTACCACTCCTCATGTAAGCTAGTACAAACAGGACAGGTAATTTGGGACTCAGGGGAGCTAGCAGCACAAAGAATAATGGAAATAATAGCTATATAATGCCATTCATCTACTGAGCATCTCAGGGTCAAAGTCACCTTCATATGTCTTATTTTGATAACTGCATTCAGATAATTTTTGAGGAGGTGTTTGTAGAGAGCCTTGAAAATGCACTTCTGTATACCAGATGGAAGGAAAAAAAAAAAAAAAAAAACCAAGGCTCACGAGCTAAAGGGTAAACCTGTCAGACACCATTTGTAAATGGAGAAATAGACTAAGAATAATTGGCTATAGCAGATTAGAAAACTAGGTGTATTTTCTTTCAAAATTGTATTCTCCTGAAATGTGCTAAACTTACTATACTAATAAAATTTGAACACAGAGGATTGAGTAGAGCTCTCATTATCAGTGATGTTGAAGTGCTTTTTAGTACAGTAGGGCAACTCTGGCTTTTTAAACATTTATCTTGCCATTGTAAACTGGATTATTTTATAATAGTTGGTACACACAAACAGCTAACACTGATGGTCAGCCAGGTGTTGGTGGCAACGATTGGTTAGTTGTTGGTATCTGAATAGTATCGTTGCTTCATAGCTCTGTATTTCCTAAGGAAGTATAAGGCCTCTAGCTCCTTCATTACGAATTCTCCCCGTGCAATAAGCTCTTTGATCTTCTCTGGGTCCTTCACGTCCTTGTTTTTAAGGAAAACATTCTTCAAACGCCTTTTAAAATAGTCAGCTCCTTTTGGATAGTCCCGTCCAAGATACAGCAGCTTTAAAAAGAAAGATGCGTCTCTAAGCAACCCATGTCACATAATAACATTTGTAAAGTCAGCAGCTTAAATACTTACATTTTTATAAAGAGCCAGTACTTCTCCTCGTAAAGAATTGGCCATTTTCATTTAACATGGAATTAATCCACTTTTATACATAACATACCTAAAGAAAAGGAAGTTTTTTTTTTTTTCAGATAACTGCTATGTAATCTTAATCACAGATCTTGCATATTGGGGAGATGGTGAGCTTGTTTTTCATCTTTGAGTGCAGGTGTGCACTTGCCACACTATGCATGTCCAGGCCACGACCTGGTCATGTTCAGTCCTTTTCCATAACATGGTCTTTAAACAGCTAGCCTGCCCTTGAGGGATTCCTACCATCTCCCTGAAGGCACACTGGGATTACAGACCCAAGTCTTTACACAGGTCTTCTTGCTTAAGTGCTTTATGCACTGAGACCTCCTATCCCCCCTCCCCCAGAATGATTTGTGTTGAAAGCTTTTATAATCTAGGTACGCTTAATTTTTCTAAGCCTGATTCCTTACCAAAAGTAACACTGTCTACCCTTTTCTTGAGATTTGGGCTTCTTTACTTGGAAGAACTAAGAATCCAAAGCTAGAAAGGTGTTCCCAGAGGCAAGTTAAGAACTAAAAGAAACTGGTTTGGGAGATCAGAGAGACTGGCAGTTAGTGAAAATGCACAGTGATGGACAGAGGGTAAATGAACTTGGAAGGAGGTCCCACAGCAGGCAGCATCTACGATGTGGACCACACTTCTTATGCTTAGGTGGCTCGAGCTACCAAGGAGAGGAGCTTGGCAAATGCCTCATTAGACCAAGCCTAAATCTATTCCCATTTGTAACCTCTTACCATTGCATCTTTACCAGCTAGGGACAATTCCAGTGTGTTCTGTTATGGCTGAGCAAAGTACTTGCCAGTATTTGCCACTGCAAAATAACTTCTTCCAAGAATCTAGTTCACATAGTGGCAAATGGATTTATAAGCCACCACATGGATGGGATAGTTTAGGAAGCAAGATGGACAACAGTGGTTCTCAACATTCCCAATGCTGTGACCCTTTAATACAGTTCCTCATGAGGTGGTGACTACCCCCACTACCACAAAATTGTTTTTGTTGCTACTTCACAACTAATTTTGACCCTCTTATGAGTCATAATGTAGATATCTGATAAGTAGATGGTTTTAGGCAACCCCTGTGAAAGGGTTGTTTGACTCCAAAGGTGTCTTGACCCACAGGTTGAGAAATGCTATGCTAAAAGCTCACTACAATGGGGACTGTCTGTCGGGCCTCTTGAATCCTGAGTAAAGGCGTGCACTTGTGCTGTAGGCATGTGTGTGGTTTTTATATTGATCTTTATATAACCCAGTGACATTTAATTCCTACATTACAGGATTTATTTTCATTTTAGCTTCCTGTCAATAATTCTAACACTTATCCAACAGTGAACAAGTGGGTTCCCATTATCCTCAATAATGGAATCATAACTTCTCCCCCTACTACAACCAAATTCTTACCACTGTCACCATCTGGCACACTCTGTTCCCATCCCCCTCCCTGTTCCTGGAAGGCTCAGTGTGTCACTGTGTCCTGCCTCCACCCTCTCCACCCGGCCGGTGTCCTCTAGTGCTACTCTGCCCTTGTGCACAAACCACTGTTCCCTGAGACCTGCTCCCCTCCTTTTGAATTCTTAAGGGACTCCACTTTCCAGCCCTTCATTATGTCCCTTTTCTGGCTGCTGACGGCTTAGTGCCGCCTAACAACCTTTGGACTGAATTATTCAGGAAGATTTTAAATTTCAAAGTAGATCTTTTTTAAAGATGAATTAAGGACTATTTTATAACTAACTTTCAGAAAATGGGAGATTCTTGAAATCATAGCATCATATTCAACCAAAACTGTGCTGAGCTGGGTAGAGGTAGGGGCAGACCCCAAGCTTATTAAGGAGAGCTATAACTGAAGTTACATGGGACACCCTGTCTTAAAAGAAATACAAGTAATCGTGCTGAATTCTTTGGTTTGGGTTTAGTGCTGAGGTGGATAGACCTTAATTAATAGACCTTGAGAATGATGGTGTCCACTTAGGTTTTCTAGGGTGCTAAATCACAGTCGTCATGTTCTCCAGCTTCTAAAGTCTTACTAATGTCATCATCTCCCCCCTTTTAAGTTTTATTTTTCCAGAAGATTTAGTGGAATTCTGGAGGGCAATGAAGCCAGTGTTTAACCCACAATTTTAACAACTGGAGTGTTTAAGAAAAATTTGCAGGGGACGGGGGCATGCATAGATTCTGGTCTCTCGTTGAAGAATGTGATTTAAGATTAAACTTTATATATAGAGACAGTCTGACAGCAAATTATAGCCTGTTTAACACCATCATTCTCAAGGGAGGACAGGTAGAATCAGTTAGGGTCTATCCACCTCAGCAGTTTTTATCTCATTACGAAGGCTCAGAGGGTAGTAAGGTCATAACTGTTACGCAACCAGTAACTAACTCACAAAAAATAGCTGTCAGTACTACTTGGGAGTAGAACATTTAGTGAACGAGTAAGGGACAGAACGTTACACTGGAATTCAGGCACGGGAAATGACTTAATTTTGTTTTAACAGGTTAGACAGGCTTCAACCTGAGGCCTGGATAAAGAACTGACTAGGTGGCTTCCACTTTGGCACTGCTGCAGAGTGCCATTTCTTCACACGGGGAGGGGCTCAAATTCTGCAGCCCGCCGCAGCCGCTCAGCGGAACCGCCCACCCTGGGCAGCGACTGAACCACCCCCACCGCTTTAATCTCTAGGCGAAGAACCTGCTCTAGGAGCCCATCTGCCTCGCCGACATGGCCAAGCGACCTCCCGGCGACCCGCCCGCCCGCCCGGGTGAGCAGCCCGGGGAAGCGCTCGCAGAGCCGGGCGGGGCGGGGCGGGGCGGCCCGCGCGGAGACCTGGCTCTCGGCAGCAGGAGGAGGAGGAGGGCGCCCACGAGTCCAGGTCAGCCCGGGAGACAGTGTGCCAGCAGATGGCTCCCTCCCGCTCGCAGCAGCCCGCTCCTGAAGCATACTTCACCACCTGCAGCCCGGATCCCGGGGACGAGCCACAATCGGCGCTCCGCCGCACCACGGCCGTAAATGCTCTGTCGGCCCCAGCCCGGGGGCGGGGCGCCCGCCGGAAGTGGGCGGGGAGCCAGGCAGGCATGGGCGGGGCTGAGAGCTCTGCGGGGGGGATGAGGGCGGGGCGCCAGCAGAAATGGGCGGGGTTTGGAGCGGCCTTCTTTGCTGGGGGCGGGGCACCGAACGGAAGTGGGAGGCCTCCGGCCGTACCGAGGGCCTGGGCTTGTGTCGGAAGTGGGACGGGGCTCGGGCAGCCAGTCCTCGACAAGGACGGGACTCCCGCCAGAAGGCTACTCTGCGACTGCGCCGGCGCCCCTTCGCTGACCGCGGGGTGGGGAGGGGCGGGGGAGCGGGCGTGGCCTGTCGCCCTGACAACCGCGAGCCGCGTTCCGGCGCGGCAGAGTTGAGACTGGTGCCCCTCAGCGAGGGTCCTTCTGCGCTCATGGTGAGGCGGGAAGACGAGCGAGGGCGGGAGGGGCGGGCTGTGAGCGCACCCTGGGCCTTTCCCGTCAGAGACGCCCCGAGCCGGCCTCGGCTTTACCTCTACCGCGGGGACCGACCGCGGGTGCGCCCGAGGCGGCGGCGCCTTCCAGCCTCCGCAGGTGGCGGGAGGAGACGGGCGGTGGACAGCGCCCGCCCCGGGACTGCCGGCGAGCCACAGCATGAGCAAGCGCTCGCTTGCTCCGTGGAAGCGTGGGTGTGCGTTTCTTTCCCCACATGTGCCCAGCACTGCTTCTCAAAGTCTGACTTGGGCGATTTGCTTGAAATGTAGGTTCCGGGAGGTCATGAGTTCAAATCTGCTGTCTCGCGGGGTGTCCAGGGCACGCGGGGCGAGCACAGCGGACACCGCCTGCCTCACCGTTCTGCAGACTGGGCGTCAGCCTGCAGGGATTTACCCAGATCGCGCTACTTCTAACAGTTCCTCGGGGTGTAGCGCTGTAACCTCGTGTTTTCTCGTGATAGTTGTTCTTTTTGTGAGGGTCTGCCTTCAAGGTTCCTCCTTGTACATGGGTACCAGCCATATTGATCCAGAGGCCCACCCAGTTGCAATGTATGGGGTCATCTTAATTTGGTGAAATCATCACTGACCCTTTTTCTAAGTGGATCAAATGCTGGCACACAAAAAGTTAAAATTTTAGTGTGTGAATTTGAAAAGACATAATTCAACCTTGTTGTGGGATGTTTAACTCTTTGGACTTTTTAAGGGGCCCACTACCCAGTTCCCAAATAAATCACACACAGAGGCTTATTCTTAGTTCTGAATGGCCGGCCTTAGCTTGGTTTGTTGCTAGCAGCTTTTCTTAAACTAACCCATCTACTTTTTCTCCTTGACTTTTATCTTTGTTACTTCTGTACATCTTACTTTTCTTCTTACTCCGTGGCTGGCTCCTCATGTCCTCTTCCCTTGTTCTCTGTTAACTCCTTCCGTCTCATTTCTCCTTCCATCCTGTCTGTCTGCCAGCACTGCCTGTCCTTGCTCCTGGCGGTTCAGCTCTTTATTAGTACAATCAGGTGTTTTAGACAGGCAAAGAACCACAGCTTCAAGAGTTAAACAAATGCAGCATAAACAAAAGTAACACACCTTAAAATAATATTCTACAACACAACCCCTCAGGCTAAGGAATTAAAATTCAGGAAGGGGAGTGACTACATAAACTGTAAGTCCAGGATTTCTCAAGAAGCTTATCCCTCAGAAAGCAGCGGCACCCTTCACTGCTTAGGTTTTGAGAACAGTTTTACTACTTGATGGCTGTTGTGTTCACGTGAAGGACAAGGATGGGAGTTTCCCAAACCCGTTTCATGTCAGAAGTACTAGTGAAAGGTGATGTGCCCATTACCTTCAAGAATGGCTACTTGTGAGTGGGGCAGGAATGTTTATGTCGTCTGCCATACAGTGTTTGTTTCACAGTGTTTTAGCCATTGTAATAGGAAATAGTATAGCCAGGATAAAAACCATTTGTAAAAATCAAGAGAGCATGGCCACCATTATTCTTCTCTCTGTAGATCTAGCTAGACTTTAGAGTGCCTTGCCTGTAGATCACCAGGAAATATCCAAGAAGCATCTTTGTGTAATGTGCTCACCTTTCAGGAAGACGCCATTTAATGTCTGCTTACTTCAGCACTTGTATATTGTAAGGATACTCTTATGGCTTGAACCAGTGCTTCCTACAGCTCTTCAGATCTGATGTAAAATGGGTAACACTCACACAGTCCCTTACTTTACCAGAAGGCCCAGGGACACACAGGACTGCACAGGAACGAATAGTGTTACTGAAAAATTGTAAATCCGTATTGAAATACTGTGCTTTTAAAAATGGGCAGATCGACTTTACAGCACAGTCTTCATTTTATCATTTACTGGCAGACTTTAAAAAACTGATTGCCTCCCCATCAAAACCATCAGTCTTACATAATAGGAAAGGTCCCTTTATGAGACAGCCCCCACATCTGCTAATCTGACATAGTTCCAACAGGCGGTCATTTGTGAGGTTGGAACAGCCTTCCAACTACTAGTCCGTCTTTGACAGACACTCACTCTGCAGACACTTTGGCTGACGTGAATAGTGTTAACTCTAATTCCGGAAGATGCTTGGGGGAAATCTTGTGGGTTTTCTGCATGCTCTTTTAGTTTGCTCTGGCTTTTTCTTTTTTTCTTGCATCTTTCTAATTTAAAGTAAATGGAGTCACAAAAAAGGTACAAAAAGCGTCCCCTTGGGCCCTTGCCAGCTTCTCCTCATTTATGTTTTATTGTGGTGCTTGTTGAAAGTATCTGAATCCTTTTAAAAATGTGTCAATGCTTTTGTTTCCCAACCTTTTAGGGTCCCAAACCAAAAAAGGTATGTAGAAATTATGTTTTCAAAACAGATAGTTTTATGGATATATTTATTGTACAAATAAACTTCCTATGGAATTTTAAAGTAATTGTCTAGTTGTAGTTTATAATATATATAGTAAGCTCACCTTTTAAACAATAACATTATTTAAATCATGGGAGGATAATTCTCCACAATTACAGATGTATCTCACGTTTGATTATATTTCTAGTCCGAAAAAGACATGCTTTATATATAGATAGACTTTAGTTCTGACCTGCTCCTGGATTTGAGGCTTCAGTTTTTACTTCCACTTTAGAATATATTGGGTTAGACCCTCCTTTTATTTATTTCAGACAAACCTAAAACGTAGTTACAGACCTGCTGTGAGTGACCCAGGGACTGCAAGGCAGCACAATGCTTTCGGTTTTCTGCTTTTGTTTGCACAGAGTAGAAATTGAGGTTGGCTAAGGGACATGTTTCCTCATATGTCTGGATGTCTTTCCCTTCATTACTTTGTAGATCGATAGCTTAAAGCAGAAACTTTAATCTTTAGTTACGGGCTAGGTTTAGCCTACCAATAGATTCCAGCTTACTTGAATTTTTTTTCATTTTTTAAAAAATTACTTCTCAAATGTGGCATGTTATCTCACCCTCCAATCCCAGATACAGTGGAGGTTGAAATAGGAAGATCATGAGTTTGAGCACAGCCTGGGCCCAAAACAATGCAACCCTCCCCTCAAAAAGACAAAAACAACAGCACAAACAAAAAAGCCCAAAAAACTATGTATGGCCAGACATTGTCCCCCAAAATAAAGTGTAGTAAAACAAAAATCAGTGGCATTTGTTCTAGTCATGAAATAAACTGGTCACTCAGTGCCTGAGATCCTATAAAGTAGCAGTTCATGGGGCTTAGCAGTGGCCACCTGTGGTCAGAACACTCACTTTGTTTATCTCCCTGAACACAGCAGGAGGTGGGCTTAATATACCAGCCTTAAAGCATATCTCATTGGTCTGTTGTCCATAAATTTGCCTGTCATTCCCTCTTGAAAACTCTGTTGTATTCAACCCTCCTTATCTGTGGGTTCTGCACTCATGGATTAAACCAAACAGATTGAGAATGCTCTTCAGAAGTGTGACCAGAATGTTGGGCATGGTAGTGCTGTCTTGTGGTCCCAGTGCCCAGAGGGCCACAAATTCTAATCCAGCCTCAGCTATGCAATGGGACCTTGTCTTTAAAAGGTGGGGGGCTGATGGGGGTTACAGAGACGAGCCCTGGCTGCTCTTGCCAAGGACCTGAGTTTGGTTCCCAGCATCCACATGGTGGTTTCAATTCTGTAACTCTAGTTCCAGGGGATCTGATGTCCTCTTGTGGCCTCTGAATACCAGGCACGCATGTGATGCACACACATACAATTTTTTAATTAAATGTGGTAATAGATAACATGTACTGCGTGTCTCAGAAAGTTAGAAGAAACAATTTGGAATGTTTAGTGATAAAGAAATAAGTATTTGGGAAATTCCATCTGCAGAGAACACATTCAGACTTTTCCACAAGTTACTCCTGAACAGTAGCCTATAGGAGAAGTATAGGGGGAGATACACGTGGTTTGCATGCAAACACTGTCGCTTATATGTGAGTTGAGGATGTGACCTTTGGCTTCTATGGCGTCCTGTAAGTGACATTAAGGAATGACTGTCCTCTGGGCTCTCAGCACATGTGTTAGAATGCACCTCAGTTACAAGTCTTGGATCATGTTGTATGTACACGTGTTTGAGTGCATGTGGAAGTGTCAAGACACACATGTGGTAGTCAGAGGACCCCTTACCCGAGGCTGCTCTGAACTTCTACCCTGGGGGTCCTGGAGATTGAACACAGAGGGATCACCAGACCTGGCAGCTTATGTGAATATGTGCTGAGTATTTATACCTTTAAACGTTTCTTCAGGAAATGCTATTGCACGCTTTCTGTGATTGTGCAGCAGTTACTAGGACGCACTGCGGGACCCCTCTGTACCTCGGCTGTGTGTGCTGTGTAGCAGTTACTAGGCTGCATGGCCGTGCCTCTCAGCTGTGTGTGTCTGTGTAGCAGTTACTAGGATGCATGACGGTGTACCTCAGCTGGGGCTCCAGGCTTCTGCACACTCAACTCTTCCTGACCCCTCTGTGAAGTCTTCCAGAGCCTGCTGAGTTTGCTGGTCTTCCAGCTCCCTACCTGGTGGCTGCATTGTCCTTTTCTTATGCTACCGTCCCCTGATTTTTGTGACTAAAAATAATGTCTCCTCCCTCCAAACTTGCAAAGTAACTAAAAGCCTGCTAGTTGTAGAGGTATCGTTGATGTTTATAGATGTGCAGTTCCAAACTTCTATCATGGCTGTTTTTACTTGCTTCTACAAATTGGAAGCTCAACAATGACGTCAATCACACATTCTTGCCAGTGTTGTCCCTGCTGTGGGATGCTTTATGTGGTTGTTTTTCTTGTTTATTTTCAGAATTATCTCTGTAGGGCCCATAGTCTATGCTGGGTACCAATTGGCTCTCTTATTGAATTACTGTACATGAAAATTGGTTTCCTAAAATCAATAATTATTTTCATAATTGCTATTTTTAAGATTTATTTTTAAAATGCATATGTATGTGTGTGGGCCTGAGTGATTTTATATGCACCGTGGGTGCCTGAAGAAGCCAGAAGAAGCCAGAAGAGAGCATTAAATCCCTAGAGCTGGAGGTACAGGTGGTTGTGAACTGCCTGACTTGGGCGCTGGGAAGACAGTAAGTCCCTTGTCGGTTGAGCCATCACTCCAGCAGCCATAATTATTGTTTGAAAGGACATGTTCCTAAGCACCTTGTGCTGACAGCCTCTTTAACGTTGTGCTCTTCATTAAGCCTGCTGGCAAGAAAAAGATCAGCAAAGCTGAGCGACAGCGGTTGCTCCAGGAGGAGGAAGAGAGACGCCAAAAAGAGGAAGGTACTGAATGCTGCCCCGGGTCACACAGAGCATCAGCCAGAGGCTGATGTGGACACAACACTCAGCATTTTCAACAGGCTCTAACTTCATAATGGATTCCTATGGGTAGAGTGTCCTCAGAAAGACTGGTCAGTGCACACTCGGCGTGCACACAGTCAGATCCGAGTAGTGTGCACAGAAGTCGTGCTGCCAGACAGAGTTCAGGACTCAGGGAAGTCTGGGCTCTGACTACCCACTGATCTTTTGATGTTTTGCCCCACACAGTATTTGGCTATATTTAAATTAACAACAACAAAAATCATTGCTTATCAGAAATTGAAATCCAACTCATCAGCCCATATTTTTATTTGCTGAATTTATCAAGGCTGCCATAAAGTGTTAATTTACTAATGAAAATAGGGACATTGCTGACTGTGTGGTAAGAATTTTGAACCTAAATTTATTAAAGGTGAGAAATACATACCAGCAAAAAGTACATACAACAGCCTAACTTTTTTGTTGTTGTTCTTGTTTTTGGAGACAGGGTTTCTCTGTGTAGCTTTGGAGCCTATCCTGGCACTTGCTGGCACCAGGCTGGCCTCGAACTCACAGAGGTCTCCCTGCCTCTGCCTCCCGTGTGCTGGGATTAAAGACGTGCGCCACCAACGCCTGACTTTTTTTTTAACCCTGAGGGTTTTAAAAAGATTTGTGTTGTTTATTTTTGATTGTGTGTATATGTATGTGTAAAGTATTCGCAAGTGACTTCAGGTGCCCACGGGGGCCAGAGGTGTTGGGCTCCTCTGAGCTGGTTGCAGGCTGTGTGGGCTGCATAATGTGGGTGTTGAGAACTGTACTTGGGTCCAATGCTCTCAACTCCTCAGCCCGACCTCCCGATGTTCAACAGTATCTATTTGCCAGTTAAACCAGCAACCTCAGCCATTAAAATTAAGCACTGATAAAAATACTGGCCAATTGAAATACTAGAAAGTGGTTTTTAAAGTCTTGAGTGCTCTGATGGTCAGGGTTACTAGAATTCGGTGCCTGTAGTCAGGTTTGTAAAATGCTCCCTTGACTTTGTATACTTTGTCTTTTGCAGATAATAATGCACATTGTTCTGTTTTCTAGCTGATGTTTTTAGGTTTGTTTATTTATTGAGGGCACTGGTGCTTTCCCACGCATGTAGAAGCCCAGAGGACAACTTGTGGGAGTCCTTTCCTTTCACATGAGAATCTGGGAATCAAACTCTGGCTATCAGATGGCTCACTGGCAAGTGCCATGGGTCCCCTGGAACTGGAGTTACAGATGGTTGTGAGCTGCAATGTGTGTGTTGTGAACTGAATCCAGTCCTCTGCAAGAGCAGCCAGTGTCCTTAACCACTGAGCCACCTTGCTAGCATTGATTTTTTATATTTTATTTTAAATAGTGAGAGCAGGAAAAGCACGAGGTAGTAGCTTTCTGACAGTGTTGAAGTCAGTTACAATGATGGAGCTGCTACATGGCTCAAAATCATTATTGAATGTCTATAGTTCTCTCTCTCTCCTCCCTCTCTCTCCCTCTCTCTCCCTCTCTCTCTCTCTCTCTCTCTCTCGCTCTCTCTCTCTCTCTCGCTCTCTCTCTCTCTCTCGCTCTCTCTCTCTCTCTCGCTCTCTCTCTCTCTCTCGCTCTCTCTCTCTCTGTGTGTGTGTGTGTGTGTCTGTCTGTCTGTCTGTCTCTCTCTGTCTGTTCTGTCTCTGTGTCTGTCTCTCTGTGTGTGTGTGTCTGTCTCTCTGTATGTCTCTCTCTCTCTCTCTCTCTCTCTCTCTCTCGTCCTCTCTTTCTGTGTTTGTGTCTGGGTGTTGTGTGTGTGTGTGTCTCTCGCTGTATGTCTCTCTCTCTCTCTCTCGTCCTCTCTTTCTGTGTTTGTGTCTGGGTGTTGTGTGTGTGTGTGTCTCTCGCTGTATGTCTCTCTCTCTCTCTCTGTGTGTGTGTCTGTGTGTGAGTGTGAGTGTGTGTGTCTGTGTGTGTGTGTGTGTATGTGTGTGTTAGCTAGTGTACTTTTGGAGGATAGAGGGCAACTTGCAGGACTCAGTTATCTCCTTCCACAACGTGGGTTTCAGGTATTGAACTGGGATTGGCTTGGCTGCAAGAACCTTCACCCAGTGAGCCATCTCACCACTACCAACTTAAAAATATTTTCTTTTTGATTTATTTTATGTATTTGAGTGTTTTGCTTGCACATATGTCTGTGCACTGTGTGTGATGTGCCCTTAGGGGCAAGAAGAGGGTGTCAGATACCTTGGGACTGGGGTTACCGTTGTGAGAAACTGAGTCATGTTCTCCTTTCTACATTGATGGCTATCCATTGTCCATAGCACTGGTTCCCAAAGGGCATTTTCATACAAGGATATAATGTATTTGACTTGTGAATTCCTTGGTGGCTGGGAAGTGAGCCCTCTCCTCACTTCCACCACAGAGTAGAGGATGTGACCACCATAAGAGGTTATACTCTGTGCTGGGAACACCCAGAGGAGCCTTTAATCCCAGGAAACAGAGACAGTTGGATCTCTGTGAGTTCAAGGCCAGCCTGGTCTATAGATGGAGTTCCAGGACAGGACAGGCTCCAAAGCTACACAGAGAAACCCTATCTCGAAAAACCAAACCAAACCAAAACAAAACGAATCTAAAACATTGTGAACATTGTGGTTGCATAGCTGCAGTTGATGCTTGGTTTTTTTTTTTTTGGCTCTTCAGAGGAGGCTCGCCTGAAATTTGAAAAAGAAGAACTGGAAAGGCTAGAAACACAGCGGGTAGAGAAAGAGAAATGGCGTCAACTGGAACAGAAAGTGAGTGGCAGAGCCGCCAAGCTGGCTGACCCCACCCCTGTGTCTGGAGCTGCAGCAGTGCCCAGCTCTGTAGTCACTAACCTTCCCCAGCCACCACCTCACACACGTTTTCAGTTAGGGGGATGAATGTCACTGATTTTTTTTTTTTTTTTTTAAAAAGGGGTTTTTTTTGGCGGTTTGGGGTTTTTGGGGGTTTTTGTCACTGATTTTTTTTTTTTTTTTTTAAACAGGGTCTCTCTATGCAGCTCTGGCTGTTCTGGAGCTCTCTGTGTAGACCAAGCTGGCCTCATACAGAGATCTGTCTGCCTCTGTCTGCCTCTCAGGTGCTGGGATCAAAGGCACACGTCACTGTATCTGGCTGCACTGTTCATGTTTTAAAAATCCCATCAGCATCTCACTCAGCAGAAGACGCCTGGGCTCGTGCCACGGTGTCAGCATTCCGTTAGACGCTTCAGTGGAAACATATGAAGACAGGCTCACCTTGCACAGATAGATTACAGAATGGGAGGAGAGGATACAACAGGGCTGGAGATGTCTCCAGTGGGCTAGTGCCTACCTTAAAACCATGAGATCTAATCTGGACATGAATAACCAGTTGCACTGGCTGCCTGTAGCTCCGGCCCTGAGGGGCAGAGACAGGTGGATCCCTGCAGCTCATGGCCAGGTAGCCTCACCAAGCTGACAAGCTTCAGTTTTAGTGGGGGACCCTGCCATAAAACATATAAAGGTGGAGAGTAGCCAGGGAAGAACACTCAATGTCAGTGTCTGCCTGTACACACACGTGTGCACACATGCATACACACTCATACACACCCACTCACTGACTCACACCCGCATTGGGAAAATGTCCTCCTAGTCTTTCAGATACTGTGGCATTCTTGGACACTGCACCTCAACTAAACAGATGGTGGCTGCTGCTTTTTCCTCTTTGTGACAGAGCTGTGCTGTGTTGTGGAAGCTAGAATCAAACTTCAATCTCAAATAATTCTCCTGCTTCAGCTTCCTGAGTAGCTGGGACCCCAGGCACACGCCACCTTCAGCTTTACAAGTGAGCTTCTCCATGTGGGCTCTGAAGCTACGCAAGTGGGCGCACACCCCATCAGTGGGCAAACCCCCATCAGTGGGCACACACCCCGTCAGTGGGCACACACCCCATCAGTGGGCACACACCCCATCAGTGGGCACACACACCCCATCAGTGGGCACACACATCCCATCAGTGGGCACACACCCCGTCGGTGGGCACACACCCCGTCAGTGGGCACACACATCCCGTCAGTGGGCACACACCCCGTCGGTGGGCACACACCCCTTGGCACCCAAGCATTGCTGTTGCCTCTGAACAGATTGGATCTCCATGCTCTGCTCTGTAACGTCGCATGCTGTGTCAGTGAGCTAACTACTTCCAAATGTTGACACGTCTTATTCTCCATTGTCAAACTATCACATAGGTATTAGGTGTGGTGTCCCATGCCTTGAATCCAGCACTCGGGAAGCAGAGGTCGCCTAGTTTCCATAGCAAGTTCCAGGCCAGCCAAGGCTACATAGTAAGACCCTGTGTCCGAAAAAAAAAATCACCTATGTTAGTATCACTGCCAGTCAAATCAGCAGTTTTTAAAGATTTGCTCTTTACCAGGTGCAGCTTTTTAATCTAAATTTTTGCTTGAATGCTGAGCCTTGCCATTCTAAACAAGTGCTTGATTTATATCCTCAACCTGTTATGCGCAGTTCATACATTTTTGAGAGCATATCCACAAAAACACTCAATTATAAAGATTATTTCTTGGGACACTATTGCCTTTGGTGTGTAGAGGAGTGCTCAATGCCTTCTTTCCATTCTATCATACAAAGGGTAAACATTTTGATGCTTAGGGTTAGGATTTAGTAGAATTAATTACTTCCCCCTCGATCAGGATGGTCTTGTGTGCAGCCATCAGTACCTCTCGCAGTCTTAGCCCCAAGCTAGTGCAATTTGAGACATTGCCTTGATTCAGGCTAAGACACCCGAGACTGTACCATAGAGACTGCAGCCGTGCCCTCTAGAGACTGCACCATGCCCTGTAGAGACTTACCACGCCCCATAGAGAGTGTACCATGCACCATAGAGAGTGTACCATGCACCATAGAGACTTACCACACCCCGTAGAGAGTGTACCATGCACCATAGAGATTGTACCACGCCCCGTAGAGAGTGTACCATGCACCATAGAGACTGTACCACACCCCGTAGGGGCAATGGGTATTGGTGAAGATGGATTCTCAGATTGCAAAGGCACCTTCAAACATCTAAAGATCCTGCTTTGCAGCTACTGTTCCAGGCTGTCTCAGGGTTAGGAGTTTTATCCAGACTAACTGAACTGTTTATTTTGGAACTAAATATTCATCCTCGTGGATTTTAAATGCTTCTGGTGAAAGCTAACATGAAAGAGCAATCAGTGTAGCCTCCTTCTGTGGCAGGACAGAGAGAGGAGAAATGAAGAACTTGAAGAACTTTCTTTGTTAGAGAGCTGTTTTCCTGAAGCAGAGAAACTGAAACGGGAAACCAGAGCACTGGCTCAGGTGAGGCTGTCTCCTCTCTTGTGCTCATACTTCTGGGACCACGAGGGAACTGAGTCTGGTACTAAGTTTTATCTTGGGAGAGTTATTAAGAGGAACATCCGGGATGGTGGAATGGCTCAGTGGTCAAAGACATGCACTGTTCTCGGAGAGAGCCGGAGTTTCGTTCCCAGCATCCTTTGTCAGCAGGCTCACAGCCACCTGTTACTCCAGCTCCAGGGCATCTGATACCCTCTTCTGGACTCTGCAGGCACTGCACACACAAAAAATACATAAATACAAACAAATCTTCTAAAAACCTCTCATTTGACAAATATATTGTTCAGACAAAAGAAATTGATATAGTTGTAGAAAGCTATTGGTCAATAAAGGGCTGCTAGGAATGTTTATACTCCCTCACTGTTCACTTCTTGGGAATCTATATGAGCTCATTTTACTGTGCTTGAGTGTAGCCCAGTTCATAGTTGTTTGGTCTGTTTTTTAATTGGAAGGTGTGTGGAAACTGTGATCAGGCAAATCTTTCAGCACTTATTCCGTGTGTCATGTGCTTATGTCACGTCTGAATACATTGTGTCGATCACCAGACTGTCTCCACTGTTGATGCTTACACCTTTGTGTCCATCCCTCAGCAGTGACACTGGATGTTACTACTGTCACTGTTTGGGAGAGCCGAGCCGTCACCTGAGTCTTTGGCAGGTGGGACACTTCAGTGATAGGGATTTGTGCTCTCAGCCTCCCTCTTCCCTGAGACACAGGAGGACTGAAATCACCCTGACAATCAGCCCCGTAATGTCCTCTAAACATCCCAGTGACAGCGCAGCCACTTGCAGTCACATGTGGAGTGACTGAGCTGGGAGAGGAGGCCACGTCTAAAGCCAGAATAGGCTGAATGCTGGCCTTCCCCACCCTGAAACTGCAGGAGAGGCCTTCTGGAAGGAATTAAAGTGCTGCTCCAGTGATGTCAGACATGACACAGAGGTGAATAAGCCCTTATTAGTGACATGGAGAAAAGACCAGGCCAGCCCACCATCTCTAAACCATGATCTAACCCAGGCCAGCCAGCCGGCCACTTCTAAACCAAGGCATAACCCAGACCAGGCCAGCAATACCACTCCTAAACAAAGGCCTAATGCAGCCAGTCCACCACCTTAAACCAAGGCCTACCCCAGAACAAGGCCAGGCTCTTCACTTGTGTGAAGGCCTGAGGGCAAGCATCCACAGGAGAAAAGTTGGAAGCTGGCAGAAGCTGGTTCATGAAATTCTTGTCATCACAAATGCCGATGCTTTAAAAATAAAAGTTGTGGGGTATGGTAGAATATTATTCTCAGGTGTGTGACTTTTGTTTATGCTCTATTTGTTTAACTCGGTGAAGCTGCGATTCTTTGCATGTCTAAAACACCTGATGGTCTTAATAAAGAGCTGACCAGCCAATAGAGAGGCAGGAGCAAGGCCAGGCAGTGCTGGCAGGCAGAGAGAATAAATAGAAGGAGAACCAAGGAGGAAAGAGTAACAGAGGCCAAGGGAGGAGGACACCCAAGCAGACCATGGAGTAAGACTTACAGAAGTAAGAGAACAGGAAAAGCTGAGAGGCAAAAGGTAAACGGGATAATTTAAGTTCAGAAAAGCTGGCTAGAAATAAGCCATGCTATGGCTTCTTGTGTGATTTATCTGGGAACTAGGTGGTGGGTCCCTCAAAAAGCCAAAAGAGTAAAATGCATTTCACACTACAGTGGGAAGCTGCGGCCTGTATCCATGCCCTGAGCAAAACAGATGGGAGGTTAACCCCAAGAGCAGCTCTGGTTGGTTCCTGAGCCAGCAGCCAGTTAGCTAGTGAAGGCTGGGAACCACTGGCTGGTGGTTTAAAGTTGTTCCTTGTGCTTCGGGCCCGTGGTCTGATAAACGGTGTCGAGTGATGTCACTGGCTTCTGTTCTCTCCACTTACTGGTTCTGAGACCATGTGATTTGGTGAATCATGGTTTGATGTGTTCTTTGCACAGAAAGCTGTGTGTGTGACCTTACTAACCCAAGAGCTATCTGCTTCCCATGTTCTGCTTGGGGACAGTTTTCCAGACCAGCGTCAGAGCTCCAGAGAGTATCCAGGCATAGGCTACCCCCAAGTCCATGTTGTTTCCTGTTTGCCTACCTTGTCTGGGCATTGTGGGTAAATCTTCTGGATTATGAGTCTTTGAGTTACACTTTAGATGAATTTGAACTAATGTTTTGGTCCAGAAGATGTACAGCAGAGAGGTCTCTCATGTCTGAGAGCATCAGGCAGAAATGAACTGGCTTTAGTGAGAACAAGGGTGTTCCTGTAAAGATGTTTCCAGCACGTGAATGAGGGAGACAGGAGGAAAAGAAGCACCAGTGAGGTTTCTAAACAACGGTCAATGGTGGGTCCATCTGCAGTCTAGAAGTCCATCTCTCAGAGCTCTCCTAGGGTTTGTTTATGTTGACGGGCATAACCTCAGGGGCTGACCCAAGCTTGCTCTGTGCTGCGGAAGGGCCTGCAATGCTGGAGTTTGTGCAGGCTGCCTGAATTAGTCAGAACTGGGATTCGTATTGGGTCTAAAACTGCATTTGAAACTCTAGCCAGTCCACATGTATTTACAGTAACATGCGTTCATGGCTAAGGAAATGGGTGAGACTTAAATGGGTAAAATAAATTGAGATTACAGCAGCCACTGTGAGATGACTTTGGGTAAAATTGATTGCTTGATGGGAAGAATACAAAAAGGATTTTAAATACCATGGAAACATTGGGTTGGATTGTCAATTCCCATGCAGGCTTTGAAAGCCATTGAGTTACTGGAGAGGTTGAGCCCTTGGGTCAGTGGTGGTGGTGTCTGCCTTGTGCCTCAGTTGAGCTCAAACACAGCAGTGCCATTGGTGTGTCCTGCCCCGATGTCAGCTCCTCTGTTAAAAGAACTGCTATGTTGGAAAACTGCTTGTTCTGTTTTTTTGAAACCCAACTAGAGAAGGGAATTTACACCTGTGGAGAAATCCTCCCCTTATGTGAGGGCTTCTCTCTCTGCACCAGGAGGAAGTAATAGGCCATTGGAGGTTTGTACAAGGGAGAAGACAGAAAGCCCCAGGTCTGTGTATGTAACAAGCCTCAGCGTTGACCATCTGGTCCTAACCAGGCTTTGTGCTGAGATTCTCTTCCCTGGTAGATGACAGCGATCACATGTGAAATGGAATACATGGGCACTGAAGCTAACACTTGGGGCAGTCATCGGGAGGTCAGTCAAGAAAGGCAAGGGGGGTGCATGGACAGATGGGCAACGGATGGTGATGTTGAATCCAGCTGGCAATGTGCAGCCTTCCACTGTATCTCTAGCCATCTTTTCAGGGCTGTGATGCACAGGGAAGTGAACGGTGGAGAGTCAGAACGCCCTGCTCCTGACGCTGATCTTGTGTATCCTTGTGTATCTATCTGCACAAGGCAGTCTGACACGGTAAAGTGACCTGCTCAGTAGGAGGCATTGCATTACCTGTGCTGATTTAAGGGACAGGAAGCCTTTCTGAAGAGAGGAGTGTTGGCCTCTATTTGCATGGCCAAGTGAGTGTTTCCCCTGGTTACCATACTCCCAGAAGGGGTGACTAGCAACTGGGGTGGTAACAGGTAGGCAGGCGCTATGCCATTCCTGTGTAGAATGTTCTAGTAGATTCAGGGGTATAGAACAATGTCCTGAGTGCCATGAAGGAGCAAACGAGGTGCACGGTTGAGAAAAGATCCCAAGGCTGCTTATGCACACAGGGATGGAAGAAAACTATTTCTTCCATGTTGCTGTTTCATGCATTTTATTAGAAATTAAGCTCACAGCTGGGTGGTGGTGGTGCATGCCTTTAATCCCAGCAGAGGCAGTGGCGGGTGGATCTGAGTTCTACAGAGTGAGTTCCAGGACAGCCAAGGTTATACATGTCTCAAAAAATACAAAATAAGAGAAAGAAGGAAGGAAGGAAAGAAAAAGAAATTAAGGCTAAAGAGCTAAACCCAATATAAGGTGATGAAATTAGAAACAGCAATTCCTTGCACAGGAAAGTATATTTGGTGCATGAAGCTAGAGAGAAAGAAAGATTATTTGAAAGAAGAGGGAGTGTTTCCTTGGTCTAAAGTTGAATAGTTCTGACTAAAAAGAGTCAATGTACAGGATAGAAAACTATTGACAGTTCTGGAGTCTGGCTTTGTGTTAACTGTGAGACATTCCCATAGAGCACCTGAAGTCGGGCACTGAGGGGCCTGTCTGTCATCCTAGCACAGGGGCTGAGGCAAGAGGACTTGAGTTCCAGGCTACATACTGAGGCTTTGTCACAAAATAACAAAAATCAGAAGGGCCAACTCCAACATCTAGGAAAGGCATTCTAAGCTTGATGAGTTATTTGTTATATTAAATTACATAGGAAGTATCATCACATAAGCCATGATAAATCTTTGGGTTGTATGACTATCATTCATGCATTCCAAAAATTATATGAAATGAACTGAAATCTGTGTCCTGCGGTAATGCTATTAATACTATTCAGAGTTGTAGTTCTTTTATGGTGTACACAGTAGAAGTAACTAAATTTTATCTACAGGTATCTTGGAAGTCAGGTATTTGCCTAGCATGTATGAGTCCCAGGTTCTAACACTACAAAAAGGAGGGGGAGGGGAAGAGGAGGAATAAATAGGAACCCAGCTTTTATGTGAGTGGAGTGGTTATTATTTCCAATTCTGGTAAGAACATGGTTGAACATATGTCTTTGTTGTATGAACGTGCATTATTTGGGTATATGCCCAAGAGAGGAATTGCTGCATCTTGAGGTAGACTGATTGCCATTTTTCTGAGCAACCGCCATACTGATTTCCAAAGTGGTCTTACAAGTTTGCACTCCCACGAGCAATGTTGGAGTGTTCCTTTTTCTCCACATTCTCTCCAGCATAGATTGTCATTGGTGTTTTTGATTTTACCCATTCTGGCTGGTGTAAGATGGTATCTCAGAGTTGTTTTGAGTTGCATTTCTCTGATAGACAAGGATTTTGAGTACTTTCTTAAGTGTCTTTCAGCCATTTTAGATTCCTCTGTTGAGAATTTTCTAATTAGTTCTGTAGCCCACTTTTTAATTGGATTGCTTGGTGTTTTGGTGGCTAGCTTCTTGAGTTCTTTGTATATTTTGGAGATCAGCCCTCTGTCCGATGTGGGGTTGGTGAAGATCTTTTCCCATTCTGTGGGCTGTTGATTTGTCTTACTGACTGTGTCCTTTGCCTTGCAGAAGCTTCTCAGTTTCAAGAGGTCCCATTTATTAATTGCAGATCTCAATGTCTGTGCTACTGGTGTAATGTTCAGGAAGTGGTCTTCTGTGCCAATTTGTTAAGGTTATCTCCCACTTTTTCTTCTAGATTCAATGTGGCTGGATTTATGTTGAGATCTTTGATCCATTTGCACTTAAGTTTTATGCGTGGTGACAGATATGGATCTCTCTGCAATCTTCTGCATGTCCGAATCCAGTTGTGCCAGCACCATTTGTTGAAGACGCTATCTTTTTTCCATTGTATAGATTTAGCTTCTTTGTCAAAAATAAGGTGTTCGTAGGTGAGCAGGTTAATATCAGGGTTTTAAATTAGATTCCATTGGTCTATCTGTCTATTTTTGTGCCAATACCAAGCTGTTTTCAGAACTATGGCTCTGTAATAGACTTGAAGTCAGGGATGGTGATGCCTCCAGAAGAACCTTTATTGTACAGAGTTGTTTTGGCTATCCTGGTTTTTTGTTGTTGTTGTTGTTGTTTTTCCATATAAAGTCGAGGATTATTCTTTCAAGGTCTGTGAAGAACTGTGTTGGGATTTTAATAGGGATTTCGTTGAATCTGTAGATTACTTTTGGTGAGATTACCATTTTTACTATCTTGATCCTACCTATCCAAGAGCATGGGAGATCTTTCCGTCTTCTGGTATCTTCTTTAATTTCTTTCTTTAAAGACTCAAAGTTCTTACTGTACAGGTCTTTCACTTTTTTGGTTAGTGTTACCCCAAGATATTTAATGTTGCTTGTGGATATTGTGAAGGGTGATGTCTCTTTGATTTCTTTCTCATTGCATTTATCATCTGTATAAAGTAGGGCTACTGATTTTTTTGAGTTAATTTTATATACTGCTACTTTGCTGAAGGTGTTTATCAGCTGTAGGAGTTCCCTGGTAGAGTTTTTCGGGTCACTTATGTAGACTATCACATCATCTGCAA